TGGCGGCTCTTCCTGTTTTAGCCTCGAAACCGGACCGCTTTGGAGACGACGTGTCACGTGACGACGCGAGCGAACGGCGGCGGCTGCTGCGCCGCGATAAACGGGGAAAACCGACGCGCGGGTTAACGTCCATATACGTAGACTCATGGCGGCTCATCTCTGATTCCGCAAAAAGAAAAGCAAACAGTGGGGACGCACGTTCTAACCTAACCTAACCTATTCTAATAAATTATCATAAATATTACCATTTATATTATTAGAATAGGTTAGGTTAGGTTAGGTTAGAACGTGCGTCCCCACTGTTTGCTTTTGTTTGCTGGAATCAGCGCCGGCGCTACCGCGGCGCAGCAGCCGCCGCCGTTCGCTCGCGTCGTCACGTGACACGTCGTCTCCAAAGCGGTCCGGTTTCGAGGCTAAAATAGGAAGAGCCGCCATGATGGTCTACGACCCTGGACATTAACCGTATTATGACAAGGTATGTGAATGCCATCTTGCCTCCCAGATATACAGTCTGTTACAAAAGTAGGCCTATACCACAAATTTTGTGATTTTTCAAAATTTATTTAAATTTTTTATTAGAAAACAGTTTGGTATGTTTTAAGACAATTATGTGACCATAGGGTCGGTATCTCTTCGATACCACGTCAGGATGGCACCACTGTATCCTTCGGTCGATACAGAGACCACCAATTCACGCGAGCTGATAGGTATGAGAGTTGGACCCGGAATGGAGAAACTGAGAGAAAAACGGAAGAAACTCCAGAAGTTTTAAACATAAAAACCGTTTATTTATATATAATCTAAATTAGGTTTACATCAGCGAATAAAATGCGAACATAAACTACATGAGTCGGGTTCAGTTATTATTCAATTTTTTAGTTCAAATTAACGACCGGGTGCGCGTTTTGTTTACGCGGAGAGAGAGAGCTTACAATAGTGCACGGGCAGGATAAATACCTTAGGTTATATAGGAGATCAAGTCCAGCACAAAAGGTCTAACAGTTCTTTTTAGGTGAACAGTTCTTTTCAGGTGAGTAGAAAAATTTCCGTTGAGGTCTAGTCTTGTAGGCGAGGAGGATCTCGGCGGGAGGTAGACGATCGGAGCGCGCAAACAGATACCAATAATAACTTCCACCGCTGTTCATCATGCCTGTCCCTTATTATCAAGTCCTCATTTTCGAACCTTTCTCCGATTTCGTCAGTGATGACGATCTTCTTGGTCCAATGAGGGGACGGGTGACACAATCGTGACACAGAAATGTACTCATATCAACAAGGAACCTAACTCGTGGGAATCGAGGTTTTTATTGATTTTATTTTTTTTCTCTTAATTTTCTGTTTTCTCGTTCCGTCTTTATAAAGTTTATTAAACAAAAAAATTTTAGTTTAAAACACAAAATTTCTGGTCCTCACAATTACAAAAATATCATTTTCAAACTCTTTATCTTTTAATGATAATATATTAAAAGTTATCACTTTTTACTTGTTAGCAAAGTATAGGTACACTTTTTAAAATTACATAAAATTAATTTTTAAATATATTTTAAACACTTAATATTTGGTTTCACCCCCTTTGGCTACAATTACTTGAAAAACTTTTTTAGGCA